AAAACCTATAGTTTCTGTGCAGACATTTTTAATGCAAAGTATTCTAAGTACAAGCACAGTCTCAGTACTTTTTAGATCACTTTTCTGCCATATATTATACAATAATCAATGGGCTTTTACAAGGCATTATTAAAACAAAGCCAAGTTAATATTGATTTATCTCAAAGATGACAGACCTTTGAATATTTTATCCATCTTTATGCGAGTAAGGACATGCACATAACTGTATTAACTTTATTCTTTAACAATTAGTCCATCAAAGCAAAAATATGTTTCCTTCAACTTCTGAAAGTCTCAATCTCAAATATAAGTTTTCACATTTCCTTATATTTGTATTTTTGTTTGACAGAAACATTAGAAGGAAAGAAGAGCAATGTTTCTGGGGTCAGAATTTGAACTTTAGAGTACCATTAATGTAGTATACTCCCAAATTATTTATCAGGGGAAGACTAGTGGTAAATAAAAGTTTAAAAGAACCAAACATAATGAAGTGTCAGTAGAAGTGTCAGTAGAAGTAGAAGTCTAGAGTTTTCAAGGGCAGATAGTATTTCATTACAATCAGCAGCATTAATTATATTTTGTTTAAAAACACCATTTTCAAAGGAAGTTTTTGCCATCATTGTAAATTAAAATAAAATGCATTTTTTTTCATGGGCAACTGAGATGGTATGGTACATAATAACAGTACAGATATGATGGGAAGTAATATGAAATGGGATTTTATGTCATAGAAATTTAAATGAGGTTTTAAAAATTATTATATCTGAAATCTACAGTATTATTATAGTTATCTAGATACAAAATATTTCACATTTTCTTTCCATTTCTAGTTATTGAGCAAAAATTACAATCTTTCTCATAATATTTATTTTTTAGGGTCATGTACTTGACAGAAGCTGACACTAAAATCCTGTCTAGATCTTTTCTAACTTAAAAATACTTAACTAAAATAACTGTTACTGATTGTGGAATGTATAGTCAGCAAATAGCAAAAACAAATTAGAAAGTCATAATATTATTTATAATTATGAGGAATTAAGATTTTTGAGGCAAGTTATATGAAGAAAATGAGAAAAACACTAGTGGAAATAATGGATTTAAATCATGACACACTAATAATGTGATCATTCCATTTACAATGTTAAATAATTCAATCTGTTATATTCTGAATGCAATTTCTCAATGTTAACTATCATTGAATTATTTTTACTATATTATTTTCGTGACCTCATAAGCCATTAAGTAAGCCATTAATTTGAAATTAAAAGGTCAAGTGATTATAATATAACAGTGAATACAATAAGGAAAATAACTGTGAGAAATCAAAGAAAGTTTAACTGACTTTTGATGCTGTAAGAAGAATCTAACTCTTAGAAAGAGCTTTCTTTTCCTGGGCTTCTTTCAGTTGTATTCTCACACATGCTAGCCATGCTGTGAGTGAGACGTCAGGCACAAGCAAATGGTGTGACCACAACTCCAATTCCTCTTCACAAGCCTTGTTATGAAATGCAAAGCAACCAAACAATACAGTCCTCTGCAGTTCATCTCATTGTCTAATGACTAATGCTGGCCATGTTTGAACAAAGGACTGAACATTCCAAGCCTATCCACATGTGAATAACATCTTAACGACAATACCACCTTCATTATGTAAAAAATATATTTATCCCAGCAACATCTGCTCACTTTTTTATAATTTGTACCCAAACTCAGTCAAATTTATGGGAAAAAAAATCAAGACACCCATTTCCCAAGAGGCAATCTCAGACTGTTACAAATCAAAACATATTGGAGAGGGGCAAGGAGGAGGAAATTTCATTTGGGGTGAGTTAACCATCAGGAACATCCACAGTCTTCTTTCCATTAGCACTAAGGACCAACACAGACAGAAGATGAGGTCCCCAAACTCATCACGTGTTACAGCTGAACACCAATCCATCCCACCCCATCATTCCTAGGGTGCTGGATTCCTATGGCAGGCTGCCAACCACAAGGAGGCATGTTAGCAGTTTCACATAAATTTTCAAGGCCACTAAAATGTCTTCAGTCTTACACATACAGTCCTTCCTCACCCATCTGCTATGGAATATCATCAATTATCTTAACTTACATATTACAGTAAGAGGGAGGAAAATTTCCTAAAATGTTTGTATTTCTTGATTATTCCCGGCCTTCATACTGAAGAAGGTGGAGGACTAAAATTTCTTCTGTAGAACAAAAACAGTGAAAGCAATAAAGGTTAAAGTAGTTGGGTAATAGAAGAAAATATCCAACCCTATTTTGGGTCCTTGGTTTTTTATTATTTTGATGGGGTCTTTGATTTGTTGGTTTGGGGGCTTTTTTTGGAACTCTTCTTTGATTTTTAAAGGCAGAAGAGTTAGGAACAGCAATCTCTGGAATGCTTGTGCTTTTTCTCAGTTATTGTAGTAATTTGCTAGTGTGCTAATATGCTGAATCTTTGGAATTACTGACTTCATTGAGGCTGAGAGATTCAATTGCTTGCATTCTTGATAAATTGGGAGAAGAGCAAAATAATGAGAATATATTCTTTAGAAGAGGCTAGGAAGAGGTGAGGATCATATCTATGTTTCTTAGAACTTTTCAAGGTCAAGTTTTTCTAGAAATAAAGAATTAGGAAAATCCAACAAAAAGTCCTCACGAAATGGGTGGTAGGAGTGGTTGACACTGAGGAAGAGACACTGGTTTTCAGGCAGCACCAGAACAGGGGATAAGCTTTGTATCTAGACTGCATGCTACATTATTTATCCCAAATGTTTGGATTGCTTTTCCTTTTGTTCATCACTCTCTTTGCAGACTATCTATGAGCAATCTAAGTTTAAATAAATGAAAAAAAATCAAAATAAACTGAAGTGAGTTTAGGAACTTCTGAAATTGCACTGTGACAGATCTGCTGTTTATTTCATTTATATAAGTCTTTTCGATTTATTGCCAGCTTCTGTGAATTTGGCAGTGTAATATTTTGTGACAATTAAAGTTTTACTTCATGTAAATGGATTTTGATTTCAGGCATCCCAAAGAAATTTAATACAGGTCTGTCTAACACTGATAAAGAAAGAAGATAGACAAAAATAACCAACAGCATTTTTGACAGTTTTCTGCCATGTCACACTGTGTAGCTTCAGCTAAGAAATGAAAAATAATTTTGCTTAACATTACCCTATGGAGTCTAAAGAGTGTTTAATGAATTTCAGTCCTGAACTTCCAATCCTGTATACTGAGTCATGAAAAACTCATACCATTCTGTCATGCAACACTTGTTAATGACCTTCTTTGACTTTTATAAAATACTTAAGAAACAAAATGAAATACTATCCTTTTATAATGAACTCATGAAATGCATACTAGCTTTTTCATGGAACTTGAGGATTTGGAATGGGGCTATTCTTACTAAAAACTATTTTTATGGTAAAACAACTATGGATATTCAAAACAGACAATTTACAAATTGTTATACATCTATCTTTTTGTACTGTTATATTCAGAAGGTTGCAAGAAGAGAAGGAATTATGCACCAATTGTGCATATTAGGCCACAGCAAAAAAGTTAATAGGAAAAGCTGAAAGAAGGGGACAGAGGGCCCATTGCTCACCCAAGCTCTTCACGGTGGTACTTGATGGGAGAAGAGTGTAAGTGGGACAAAAGAGGATCAGAATGAATATAAGAAAGTATATTTTTGAAGAAAAACTTTTTTCAACCTGAGTACAATCAAGAAATGGAACAGGTTGCACAGAGACTGAACAGCCTCCATACTTGGAAGTTTTCAAGGTGTTGCAGAATAAATCCCTGAGCAACCTGTTCTGATCTCATCCCTGATTGTCTTTTTAAGCAAGAAGTTGAACTAGAGGGTTCCCACAGCCCCTTGAAACCTGAATTATTTTTTTATCCTATGATTATATGGTAGTGAATACCCAATAGCTGTAAAAAACAGAAGGCTTTAGTAAAGTAATAGGAAAAAGGAAAAATTCTTGCCAGATGGGAAAAGAAGTAAGAAAACCCTTATTACAATAGCTTTCTTCACATTTTCCCTATTGAAACTATAGAAGAAGGAAGGTACATCCAAAATTAGGAACAGGAAAAATGGCTGTCTACAAAGTCCTGGAAGGAGTGATGGGGCTGGAGTGGGGACTCTACCAAAATAATTTAGATAATTGTGTCCAAGAAAAGTCATATATGTTAAGGGTAATCTCGAACAATTAGATACTTATGCTGTGTTTTGTTTTTGTGACTCTTAAAACAGAATTGTATTTCTTTATCTTGACAGAAGTCAGTACACACATTCTCTTATATTTAAATCTGGTCACACCATAAACCAGAGTCACCTCACATGTGGAAGATACAGCCTTCCCTGGAAAGATGGACATAACTGGGGTGCACTGAAAAGAAATGTTTGTGCTATCTATATTCAGGGCTCCTCCTGAGTTTTCATGTTGCTTTGACACTAGGCTGCAGGAGTCTTTTTGTGCTGTTAACAGTGGTTTATGTAGAGAAAGGCAACTCCCTTGGTATGTCTGGAACTTCTTTGATGAGAAGCCTGAAAGTGGAAAATGGCTTCACACTTCAGGAGGGAGGGATGGAAAGGAAACCTGTCAAACTAATATAACAAATATTTTTAAAAAGTCTTCTTCCTTTCTTATTCTGTTCATTGTCCTCCAAAATGAAAGACTGAGTTCTATTCCTAAGACTTAATATTTTTTTTGCCTACATATTCAAAACAGAAGTAAAACTATTAACTCTTCAGAAGTTCACAGCTAGATTGTATTGATAGTGACACGAGGAAATGGGGAAGCAGCTATTAGCTTCACTTTAAAAGGGAAATAGGAAAAAGATATATAAATGTCAGTATTAAGGATATTAGTAAATATCTATGAAGATATGTGTAAATATTAAAATAATTTCTGATTTCAGGAAAAAAGGTGGAGTTGAATGTGCAACCATGGACAATAACATTTTTATCTTATACAACTTTGTTTCTCTTTTAGTGGCAAAGCATTACTATAACACTGGTTGAGAAAGTGCAGATGGTTGCTGTAATCCTAGGATCTCTGTTCTTAGTAGCAAGTGTGACTTGGCTTCTATGGTCAGCCTTCAGCCCTTATGCAGTATGGCAAAGAAAGGACATCCTTTTTCAAATCTGCTATGGAATGTATGGTTTTATGGATCTAGTATGCATAGGTAAGCTCAAAATCTTTAAACAGCACAGACTGTGGTTTAAGACTGTGACTATTTTTATTTTTCTAATTGGTCACTCTAATTGATCACTCCAGTTCTTTGCAGATTTATTCTCGGCTGATACCTTTGGCAAGTGCTGCTTTTTACAGTGTTGCAAATATTGCAGAGAGAAAAATAATCAAAGAAGCTTTACTCTCAGATTCATCAGTATATTCTCAAAATCTTAGTGGTGAGAACAGGATCAGTTTAAATTTCTTGATAAAATGACTAGCAAAGTTCAGGGAGTTAAACAGATGAAAATATGAAAGACATTATTAAAATGTAATAGTAAAATTACACACTATTGTCTTCTGATGCCAGTTTGAATTAGATTGTACCATCATGAAACACAGAAGAAGCCCTTGAAGATGTCATCAAACTGCACACCCAAAATTAGGTTGCACAGATCTATATAGGTCACCGTGCTAGAAATTGAGGAGAACAGAGAAGGCAGGCAGAGTTCTTTGCACATCATAAACAATTATGAACATTCACACAGTGCTGACTATTGTAACTTGCTTTACTATTAAAAAGCCCCAAGTCATTTAGCTGAAACCTAAGAAAATACATTTTACTGTATTTTCTATTTACATTATATTGACCACTTTTAAAATTTCTGAAAATACACTGGACTCAGAAATATTTAAATAAAAATCCCTTTAGTGTTTGGTAAAACAACCTGATTAGATTGTTAGAATATTTATGATTATTTGTAGAGAAAATTTGCATTAAATATTACATAATTATATAATTTAGAGAATTAAATTTACATAATTAGTAATAATGATTTACATTAAACCACATTCACAGAATTTTAATTGCAAGAAAATCCAGAAGTCAAATGCCATTGATGTTTGCATTGACATTTCTGAGAGATAAATGTTATCTGAATCCTATATATGGGAATTAGGACAGTGTTGAATTCTGCTTTGTAAGGAACAAAGACACAGAGTGATTCCAAATATCAAGGGTTTTGCTTCAACTGTAAAGCCACATCATCTTTTATTGAAACCATCCCATTACTGTAAAAGTATTTATATTTCAGCTACATCAGCAGTTCTGTTCATTTTGCAATTTTTGTTAGAGAAGCCTGTTCTGGAATATTTTGTAACACAGGCTTTTCTTTATGAACCTGAATCTCAAACCAAAAAGTGGGCAGAAGCTCATATTTGGAGAAGTGCTCATCTTTTTAATGAATAAAAGGACTCAGCAACACATCCTCTTAGATGGTGATTTCTGAATATCACCTCTTCCAGCTAAATACTCAATATTGAGGGCTTTGCTTTTGTTTAAAAATACCCTAAAGATAAAATGTGCTTCAAGCATTTCAAGCATTTCATTTATGTTGTATTCTGGTTTGTTTGGCGTTTTTTCCCTGGTTAAAACAATACTTTGGTATGCATCAGCTAGTGGAAATAACCAGTTACTTCAAATTATTTTCATTTTTCCCACTTGTTTTTCTGTTAAAACACCTAAACCAGGTAAAACTCAAAATCACCCAAGAACTTCTGTGGGTGATCAGAATTATTACTGTATTTATCCATAGAAGGAAATATTTAGAAGGTGACCTTCCATGGATTGATACATGCAGTTCTTTAGCTGCCTTTCAAGCCAGCTAGGCTCAAGTCACCACTGAAGTGGAAGCTGCTGAACAAACGGGTACCTCACATGGAGCTTCTGGCTCAACTACACCATGCAGGAGCAAAGCAAGCACACAGATAAACTGACTTGCCTGTCATTTAATAAATGCATATTTTATAGAACTATCATAAATAATACATGCAAATTTAAGCGTAAAAGTGACTAAAACTAAATATATTTGGACACTGTTTTGTAGTTACAAAATTCACTGCAGATAGTAGTTTATTAGAAATTCAGAAAGCTGTATAAAAGGAGGTTAGGTAATTGAGGAATTTTTATAATCGAGATTCATTCAGACCCACTTATTCTGCATATAATTTCAAGTGATTTGCATTCTGTCAGCTTGTAAGATCCGGATTTCTTGTAACTCTTAAAAGTATTCATTAATATAGTCAACCTTATTCAATTTCATCTTTTTCTTTCATGATAAAGTGTGGGGGTTTAGATTGATAATTTTAATTTTAAACTTTCAAATAAAATTCTCTAATAGATGTATGTAATTATTACTTATAAGTTATTTTAAAAACCCCAAACACTTTCCATTATGCTGATGACTTCCCAAGTCACTAACTTATGCTTACAACCAGCTACAGCTCTCACTTAGGATCTCCTCTCCTTTCATTCATGTTTAGTCATCCGTGGAATTCTCTTAGTTTCCAACAGGATTTACAGTGAGTGAATACCTCTACTCCCACTGTAATCTCTCTTTATTTCAATTTCAAAAATTTATGCAGACATACGGGTTTTCCTGTGCACCACATATTTCAAGATAATGCTTGAGATACTGGTTGTATGACCAAGATTTATTCTGCCTGCCTTCAGTTATGCCTCCCTACATCTTTACAGAAACAATACAGATACTTTTGGTTGTTTATGAAGTGTGAAGCTCTTTTTGAAATGTTTTGCCATAATTTTTTAAAGCATTTTGCCTAAAGGTACTGTCATATGTTTATGACATCTTCGAAAGTGTGCACATAACAATTCATTTACTCAATGATTGACTTATATATCATATGTAGCACGCCAGTAATTTTCTTATTAAGTAAATCACACCTAACTTGTATCTTACTTCTTTGTTTTTACATTTCAACAAAAGAAAAATCTCAAAGATTATAGAACACCAGAATAATCTGTTTGTTCTAGTGTATAGGTTTTATTGGTATCCACTGTTCTCTTTCTTTTAGTCTGAATTTTACCAGAATTCTTCCTGACAATTCAGATCTTTTTAGTTATCAGTGTGGGTTTTAACCCTACAAGTCTTTACCTTGTACTTTTCTGCATCAAAGCTGAGCGTAAAGCTGTTTTCTTTGAAATCTGCTATTGGTAGACGTTTTCTTAAAGCAAACTTTGAATACCCTGATCAAGCAGAACTATAGCCTGAGAAACCCAAAGCTATTCCAGTGATAGTGCTAGGATCAGACCATCCACGTAGGGATTACCAAAGGGAATGAATAATAGGAATTCATGAAAGAAATGAATAATATAAATCCCTTATCTACCTACTGAAGGACAGTATATCAAGCCTTTGCCATTTTGCTTTCTAAACCTAGTAATTATTTTGCAGAACAGAAAAGTCATAGAATTTTATGTATTTTTCACTGGAACACTTATAACTACTGACCATAAAGGGTTCTAACATGAACAAAACCTCTCACAAATAATAACAGCTGACTTGCAATCCCAGAGCAACAGTGCTGCTCCTTTTCCAGCAGTAAAAAGCAGTTGTTACATTGCACTAGACAGACACATGACTGGTGCCAGTAGTACTGTGGCAATGGAGTAAGAGATGGGAGGCAGTGCGAGGTGTGAATTGCCTTCTGAAAGCCTCTTTCTTCCGTGCTAAAGAACTTGAGGCCTTGCAACATTCCTGTAACTTCTTGACTGTAAAAAGGAACAGGCTGAAGTTACTTACAGTGAACACATCTAGCTGCACTTTATATGTCTTTATTCAGAAAGTCTTTTTTTTCTCCCACACTACATCGAATTCTAAATAGTTTATAAAGAATAATATTACTATTTCTAACATGGATATGTTTCACTTTAATGTTGTGAGCAATTGATTGTCTTTTTTTATTTTGTATCTGTGAGCCCTAGAATAGTTTTAAGACATGACATTTGTCCAGAGGTAAAGTCTATTTCTGAAAATGATCTTTTACCCCTGGATAAAATCTTGTGATGTTTCTGGGAGGACCATTCCTAAATTACTATATATAAGATTAGTGTGATAAATAAGATAAAGTTATAACCTAATACCATCAAATATGAATTATATAAGACAAGTTGACTGCTTGTAAAGATTTTCAGTAGTAAAAAATTTACCCTGACTTTTGAGTCAGGGTAAGAAAACCTTTGAATATAGTGAAAGAATAGAATAGTACTTGGCAAAAAGATAAGAAAAGAAAATTAAGATTCTTCATAATCCTATTGGCTGAATCTCATTGCAATCCCTCCATCTTAGAGATAAAACCTAGCAGTAAAGTCTTCTTAGGATCATGCAACATTTAGATGGGTCCATCGTCTAAAAACTCTGATCCTTGTAGATATTAATTGGACAGAACATCTGAACAGCTAACAGTAGTGAATTGTAATACCTATTGGGATCATCTGAGTCAAAAAAATACTTTTCCCCACAAGTGTTCAGCTGTGTCATCTCTGCTGTTGAAATCATGGTGTTTGGAACAAATCAGTATTATTCAGAGATTTGTTCTTGATTTCTCTCTCATAGCTACATTCATTGCTATGGAATGAAAGGCTATTATTTGCCATTTTCTTACAGCTCCACTTCAGTGACTACATATATTTTTGAGCATCAGAACTCCTCTGTACCTGGAAAATCTCTAGCATTTAAAACTTACCTAGAGTTCCTCTTATTTGTGGTCTTGGAATTGTTGGTGCCAGGAACTTTCCCCCTCCCTCCCCCAGTTCTTTTAGGTATTTTTCAATCTATACCTCTATCAAGAATGGAGCTAACACTTTTTATGAGAGGAATTATGAAAGTGCTCATTTTCTCCCTCACCACTGCTAAATCTGACAACTTTACGCCAAGGCTTGAAATATTTGATCCTTTGTTTTGTAGCTCTCTCAAAGTATATATGACTGACAGCTTTCACTATAAAGAAAATTTCTCATCCTTGCCAATGTTTAAAAACTTTGAAAACATAATTTCAATAAATCCTGAAAGCCCCAAGACAGTAAAAAAGAGCTCCCTGAAATAAGTCATCCTACAACTTTTTTTGTTGTAATTTTGGAAAAATATTTTGACTGTTTGAATGTACTTCATGTACCTCAATGATCCTTTCTCAAATACTTCCTTCTCTATTCTGAAATATTTTGTTCAGGTTCTAGTGGAGTGCAGACATCTATCATTACTTTGGAGTAAATAGGTTATTTTCACTTTGCTTCATCACAGACTTGAGAGAAATTGGACCAAATAATGCTATGTTCCAGGAACAGGTTGTGGAAGATTATTCTCTTCTCCTTTATCAACTTTATAGCAAATCCAAAAGAACATGAAAGAGTGAATCTTTGTCACAGTAGTAAAATCATGGCTAATTTGGTTTGTAGATTCTGTACGAGATCAAATACATTTATTCCTTTTTATACAATCAAGCCAGTCTTGAAGATACATTTATTGACTAAATTATTATTATTATTCTGCTAAATTTTAAAGACAGGTTACTCTATCTATATCTGAGAAGATAAAGATAGAAATCTTGCACTGTAGAAAAAATTCCACTAAAATGCTTTCTGTTACAAAATGTTTACTATTTAATTAAGTTTGGTTTGTGCTACTTTTGCTGTATTGGATGCTTCAATGAAGTCTAGGCAACTTGAAAGCCTTACAGAGATGCTGCATGTCCTTCTGAAAGAAATATCTGTGTTTCTCCATCTTTCAGTGTAATGATCTTTAAAAATATGTTAGAGTAGGCATTGCTATCTGCAATTCATTGCACTTGAATGTGAGGTTTGCTGTTCATGTAAATATTTTTACCATCCTTTCTGCTTGTGTCATCTTTCTGTGAGCATCTCCTTTCTGGTATCAGTTAATTGTGCTAAAGGACCTCAGACACTTAAATCACAATTTTCTTGTGTAGAAACAGGTGATATAAAATCTCTTGGGCTAAAGGACACCACAGATCATATTATAGGTGTGGCCATGTATAGGAAAATTTTAGGTTAGGAGCACACTGGACAAAAGATTTATAAATGTTTTTGGCTAAGCAGATTGCTCTCTTCCCAAAGCAGGGAGCCAGAGAAAACAGGTGGTGTTGCTCAGAACCATGTAAATGTCCTCAACCAGGCTGCCTGAGGAAAAAACTAGTAAGAAGGCAGAAGCCCCATGTGTCTACCCAGTAGATCCATATTTAAAATACATTTAAAGTGTGTGACTATAAACATATACATACATACAAAAAGTTAGGAGCTTCATTTCTTTAAATAAGTTGCTTGAACACATACAATAGGCATAAATATTAGCTACATGGAAATTCATAACCAGACTGGTCTCTTGAGGACTCCAGAAATTCTGTATTTTCCTTGAAGGACTTTTTAAAATATTTCTGGGTCTCAAGAAAAAGATGATTTGCAACTTTTTCCTATTGAATAGTGAAGAGAGAAGAAAGGCTATCATACTTACCATGCTCATTTAATTTCTTCTTGTTCTAAAGAATCAAGACAGGAAAGCTGTTTCATAAATCATCTGTGCTCCTAAATTGAACTGGGAATATGAAAGCAGTTAAAATTGTCTTTATCTGTACTGAATTCTACAAAACACTCTTAAATTTAGGACTATCCTGTTTATTACAGAAGGTCTAGCCTACTTAAAGGTCTACTTAAACCAGTACAAATCTCAGTAAATAAATAGTACTTACCATGAACAAGGGCAGCACTAGCATAAACAGTCAATGTCCAAATCTGCCAGTCTTGCATTGGTTTACTTATATCTGAATCATTTATTTAGTTAGGCATGCTCAGATTATTCCAGTATTGGTTATGTTGAGCTTTCATTCAGAGCAACTTTATTTCCTCTGCATGTTCCTGCCTCCTAAACAAATGAATAACCAGTTAAATTGCATATGTACAGTTTGTTTAAATTATTAATGGTATGAGTAATTTAAGTGCATCTGGAAATTGCCAGAGTCATTGAAATATCTTAAATCTCTATTTATTCTCAAAATGGTATCTATTCACACTTTGCATAAACGCTTCTTTTCCCTCTTATTTCAGGACTGATAGTCCATGAAGGAGCATCTGTTTATCGAGTGTTTAAGCGCTGGAGGGCTGTGAATCTGCACTGGGATGTGTTAAATTATGATAAAGCCACGGACATAGAAGAGAGCAATCGAGGAGAATCCTCAGCAGGGAGGACATTGTGGCTGCCACTGACTGCACTTAGAAACAGAAGTTTAGTTCATCCAACACAGTTAACCTCACCAAGATTTCAGTGTGGCTATGTGTTGTTACACCTGTTCAACCGCATGAGACCTCAGGAGGATTCATCAGAGGATAACTGCTCTGGGGAAGTAGTGATGAGAGTGACCTCAGTGTAAAGGTTGTGCTCACTGTGCTGCACAGATAAGGATAACGTGCCCTGGTGTTACAGGACTTCGGAATGTAGTTATGATGAATGGTGAAACCATTAACACTTGAAAAAATATATACACTTCTTTTTTTTTAAATTTAATGGTTTTTATATGATCAGATAAAACACAAATACATTTTTCTGGGGGGAAAAAGTCTCTTGCTTTTTATATAGTCTGATTTATTGAATCTTTTCTCAATTTGTACCTGAGGTGTATGTAACATAGCTTAACTCTTAGGTCTTTGAATGATGAGGAAACTCATTTTTAAGTAAAAAGATAAATTTAAATGTATTTTCTTAAACTCTGGCTTTAATCCACTACTGTTATTTTTTTCCACTTTCATGAGGATTAAACTGGACAACATTCTTCCAAAAAGAATAAGAATGTTGACACAAGTCAAATATTCTTCCTTTTCTGTCTTTATTTTGCTGTTGTTTGTACCTCAGTTCAGGTGTTTGAAAGTAAGCGAGGGATATATTTTCCTTTACATTTAAGTAGGAAGTCCAGTGGGTGTTCTACAAAACCTAAAGGAAGATGGGAAGTATTTTCTTTTAGCTCTCCTAGATGTCCATGCAAGATATCAGACACAAGTATGACACAGACAGGGGAAGAGTCTTGCACTGCCTCTTGCATCTCTTAAGATCTGCAGAGTGCTGGTGCTGTACCTGTGCACAGAAGTGATGCTACCTTCTGAGCAGTGCTGCTGGAATTAGCAACGTGTGAATTTTTAGTACCATTCTAATTAGAGGTCATTGATATCCCTTAAAAAAAAACCCAAAAACAACTGAAAAAGAAAAAAAGAAATGTGCATTGCAGCTTCTGGAATAATAAGTCCTGATAGAAACAGAAGTATAAGTAATACAGAACCTTAATTTTGCCAGAGAACAAATCATCATATTAAAAATGAGCCAATATCATGATAGATCAATGCTGTGATGTTTCCTTCTCTTGTTTCTGTTTCATGGCAAAATTTCTAATAGAATTTAATCAAATGGTAATGGAAATAGAAACAATTTTTAATTTAATAATAGGCTTGCTGAAGACTGAGATAGAAAAGTAAGGCTGAAATTACTCTGAGAGGACTAGCTTACCCAAAACAGTTTTGTAGAATCACAGAGTATGCTGATTTGGAAGGGACCCATAAGGAGCATCAAGTCCAACTCCTGGCCCTACACAGGACACCCTGAGAGTCACACCACATCCTGAGAGCATTGTACCCACACTTCTTGAACTCTGTCAGGTTGGTTCTGTGACCACTTCCCTGGAGAGCCTGTTCCAGTGCTCAGTTCACCTCTGGTGAAAAATCTTTTCCCAATACTCAGTCTAAACCTCTCCTGACTCAGCTTCAGGGCTTTTTCTTGAATCCTGCCAGTGGTCATGAGAGTGAAACAGTGCCTGTGTATCGTGGTTTCGGCCCAGCCAGCAGCCAAGCCCCAGGCTTGCTCAGTCCCCCACCATTGGGACATGGGAGACAATCAGAAGGGTAAAAGCCAGAAAACTCATGGGTTGAGATAAGCACAGCTTACAAGGGAAAGCAAAAGCCACACACACAAACAAATTAACACAGGGAATTCATTCACCACTTCCCATGGGCAGGCAGGTGTTCAGCCATCTCCAGGAGAGCTGGGCCTCATCATACATAGAGGTTAATTGGAAAGACAAAAGTCATCACTCAAAACATGCCTCCCTTTCGTCCTTCTTCCCCCCACTTTATATACTGCACATGATGTCACATGGTCTGGAATAGCTCTTTGGGCAGTTTGGGTCACCTGTCCTGCTGTGTCTCCTCCCAACCTCCCAACAACCCTCCCCTCATCACCAGCAGGGCAGTATGGAAAGAAGAAGAGTCTTTGGCTCTGTGAGAGCCCTGTTCAGCCGTAACAAAAACATCTCTGTCAACACCTATTATCAACCCTGTGCTCTGCACAAGTCCAAAACACAGTCGGTACCAGTCACTGTGAAGACATTTAATTCTTCTCCAGCCAAACCTAGCACATTCCACCTCTTATTCCATAGCATTTACATCATGCCAGGTGCCCCACTATTCAATACAATTGCAGTAGCCATCACCTTAACCAACACACTGCCCCTCTGCTTCCCTTCATGAGGATGTTGAAGACAACAGTTCCCCTCAGTCTCTTCTCCAGGCTGAACAGACCAAATGAGCTCAGTTGCTCCTCATGGACCTTCCCCTCCAGACCCTTCATTATCCTTGTGGCCCTCCTTTAGGCTTCCTTTGTGTGCTCTCTAATAGTTTAAGTCTTTTTTGTGTTGTGGCACCCAAAACCTGCCCCCAGCATTGGACGTGAGGCTGCTCCAGTTCAGAGCAGAGCAGGACAATCCCCTCCCTTGCCTGGCTGGTGATGCTGTGCCTGATGCCCCCCAGGACAGGGTTGGCTCTCCTGGCTGCCAGGGCACTGCTGGCTCATGGTCAACTTGCCGTGGACCAGGACCACCAGGGCCCTTTCCACAGCATTGCTCTCCAGCTTCTCATTCCCCGTCTATACACACATCCAGGGTTGCCCCATCCAAAGTGCTTGAATCCAGTACTTGATCTTGTTGCACTTCATATGGTTGATGATTGACCATCTCTCTAATTAGTCGAGGCCTCTCTGCAGAGTCTCCCTGCCCCCAAGGGGATCAACATCTCCCCCCAGTTTAGTGTCATCAGCAAACATATTTGTATTCCTTTGAGTCCTGTGTCCAAGTCATGAATGAAGATGTTGATGAGAACTGGGTTAAGGATGGAGTGTTGGGTTGACCTTGCGTGGCTGTCAGATCCCCACCCAGCTTCTCTATCACCCTTCTCAACAGAAGAGAGAGGGAAAATAACATGAAAAATCTTGTGGGTTAAGACAAAGACAAGGGCATCACTAACCTGCTACTGGCTCAAGCAAAAGAAGAGACAGCACGGGGAAAATTATTTTAATTTATTCCCAATTACAATCAAGCTGGGTGTTGAGAAACAAGGATAAAACATAAACCACCTTCCATCCACCTACACCTTTTCTTCCCAGACTCAGCTTCAACCCTTCACTGCCAACTATTCTACCTTCTTCCCACTGGGCATAACAGGGGGATGAGGAATGGGGGTCTGCAGTCTGTAACAATTCCTGTCTGCTGCTCCTTTCTGCTCCTCACACTTCTCTTCTCCAGCCTTGGGCTTGTCCATGGGCTACAGTTCCTTCGAGACATGTCTGCCAGGGGCTGCACTGTGGATATCTGCTGCACCATGGTCTTTCCAGGGTTCACAGGGAAGTACCTGCTCCACCAGGACCTCTCCAGGTCACAGGACAATCTCTGCTTGGGACGGACTCTGGCATGGGGCACTCCAGTCTCTCCTCATAGAGGTCACTTCTGCAGCTCCCATCTCCACCTGCCCCCTGGGAACCTGCATCCAGTACACAGATAAACATTCTTCTGTTTCAAAGTAAGTTTATCCAGTGGCTGAAAAGTTTTATTTTGTGCAGGAAATATAGTGCTGAGGCTGGAAAATTCCCTCTCACAAATCAACAAGATGGTGCTGAAATCAGTGCATGCCTTCCTTTTATAAGAGGCTTACGTACCAAGACCAGACATAGGAGGCCTCTGTAACTACATTTGGCAGGGAGATAGAAATAATTTAAGCATAGATGCTTAAAAGCTCCTTGTATATTCATAAACATTTATCCAATGAACTCTACAGGGCCCAGCATTCTGTGTCACAATCTCACAAGCTCAACATTACATTACTGCTCTCTAACCAATTCATGTGAAAAGCAGTACATTAACCATGAACAATGAAATGCTATCTCAAAAAAAAACAATTTATCTCCTGCACGGCAAATTACCAACATACAACAGGCAACCTCATTGAGAAACTATGAGAATTCACTTCTAGGTTATCTTTAAACCATTTCCCAAAGGAGGAATTTGGGGAGAAATTAAAGATGAAACTATGACTTGGGGAACCAAGCTCTATCAATTGGGAAATACTTGTTCTTAATTACTACTTAAATGAAGGCTGCTTTCCCAGAAGGACCCCAGCTCCACTTGACCAAATTGAGATCACAATTAGTATCTCAAAAAGCACTTGCAATACCAGCATAATAAAGTATGCTGTGATAAATATACTTATGTTTCACACATTTTAGGTATGTGTGATCTCTGGGATTTAAATATTTAAGTGGTCTTTTACACGATCCTAAAAACAAAATTAAGAACTGTATGAAAACATTTTATTGTAATCTTTTTGATGAAAAAAATGGTAACTAAAATAGGTGAACTTAGACAACTAAGATAAATGAAAATTGCTTGTAAGAGAAATGTTTATGGCAAATATCACAAAAGCCTTTTTAATGGTCGAAGAACTCAACATTAATTTCTATGGCACAGTAATTTTGCATATGACTGCATTTATGCATTTCTATATGTAAAAAACAAGATCAGAAAATTATAAACAGCAACAGGATTAGTATAGGCAGGATGCAATCACTAAAACATAATGAAATTGTGTTGTCCTGCAAAATATTTTCAGTAGTAAGAGTGCCTAGTGCAGGATATGAACATTTTTTTCATTGACCTTGTGTTTGGATTTGTGCAGTACTTGCAATGCTGTAATCATCTACATGCCAGAAGATGAATTAAAATGAAAACAGGTGCATAGAGAGGATATTAGGATGAGAAAGGAGCAGGGACCCTATTCCAGTCACTACAGGGAGGGGAGGAGGGGTGTGCACAGAATTAGAAGAGCCTGCCTTGTTCTGCTTAACAAAAGTCAAGAGTAAATGTTATTGTTCTCAGTTAATACATTGCAGAATAAAATTTATTTTAGGCAAAGGAACTCAAGGACAAGAATAGATCAGAAATAAATTTAGCTAGAAGTTCAAGGTAGTTTTAAAATATTCATGGAATGAGTCACAGACAACAATTCAAGCTGGAAAGACCCACGGGAAGACATCTAATCCAAGCTGCAGAGTCAGCTTTGAGGTTAGACCAGCTTGTTCAGGGCATTAAACCATCAGGTCTTAAAAATATTCAAGGATGGAAATTGCACAGCCTCTATGGGCAACCAGCTCACTCCAGCTCTTGACTGTTCCCAGAGTAGTATTTCCTTCTATCCCACCTTTTCTCCTGTTACAGCTTACACCCACTGTCTCTCATTCTCCCATAAAGCCCCACTGGGAAGTGG